TTTTGTCTTCTTAAAAAATAAAATTTTCAGACCATTTCAATTTCGTGATTTTTAAGACATTTTTGACTCAAAAATTTTACAAAAATATTTTTAATTTTGGAATATCTATTTTGTTGGGATATTTTGGTTTTTTTTTAATATTATTTTACTAATAATTTTACTACTTACTATATTGTTAACTTTAATGATAACTGTAAAAGTGTATTAGTGCGAAAATTCTACTTTTTTATTTTTACTTACTTTAAAGAGTAAATTGAAACGTGAGAATTTTGTTGTATGAGAAATGTTAAATGTTGTTCTTCTTGATTTTTTGAATTGTTTTTGAAAAGTTAATCCTTTAAAGGAACCAAAATATTAAAAATAAAAGTGAACCGTTATACATTTATTTGTTTTAATTTTAATTATTCTATGAAGGTTTGGTTTTAAGTGTATGTATTCAAAAAAACAGGATAATAAATGCAAAGAAAGAAAAAAAATTAATTTTACATGAAAATCAAGAAAATAGTTTACTCTTTTTTTTTAGTGAAAACCTTCTGTATAATTAGAATTACAAATTAGAGTCTACACAGTTTTTGTAAAAGTTTTTCTTGTGTAAAATAATCATTAGCATCAAAAATTTTTTTTGTTATCCTAACAGTTTTTACCGTTAAATTAATAAAAAAAATTTTAACATGTGTACGTACAAAACTATATACAAAAATATTACTATTGTTTAAAGATAATTTAAAAAATATATAATTAAAAATTTTTTTTTCTAGAAAAATCTGGGGGGGGTGAAAGGAAACTATAAAATCTCGAATAATAATAGAAAATATAAATTTTTATTTTAGTATTTTTTCTTTTTTTATTGCTTTTTTATTTATCTTTCTATATATTTGTTTTGTATTTACTTATATATTGTTTACATATATACAAATAATATTTACCATATTGTTCATATTAGGAAATTTATACTTTATAATTACTGTTTATAATTATGGTGTGTATATCCTTGTCAAAGAAATGGGTTTATTTCCTATATTAATGTTATACAAATAATTATAAACATTATGTAAAATATCCTGATCCTGATTTTTTGTTTTATATATATACGAGTACATATATTTTGCATATATTAAATATTATTTTATACGTATTTAAATTAATATATTATTTTCCTATATATACATATGTACATACTATATTAATTGAAGGTATTGAAATTAAAAAAAAACAAACACAATAAAAATAAGAATTAAGACAAAAAAAAATTGATGAAGGATCTCTGTTATGATATTTTTAAAGTGAAATATTAAAATTAAAAGATAAATATTTAACAAGAAAAAATAAGAAGAAGGTAGGCTAACAAAAAAAAAAAAAGAAAAAATTTAAGAAAAAGGATTAAATTTTAAAGTGTATTCCATTTATGTGTATATAGACGATATCCTTTTTTTTTATTATATTTGTTCTTGTTTTTTATTATTAAATTTTTGCCCCATTTCTGTTTTTTTTTCTTTCTTTCTTTATTTGTATTGTGGTTGTTGAATAATATTAAACATAAAAAAAGGAAGAGGGAAAAAAATTTTTGAAAAAAAAAAAATATTGTTATTTTATTTTTATTCTTGTTAATTTTTAAATTACATAAAAAGGATATTTTAAATATTTTCTACCTTTTTTTTTTTTTTTAACATTATAACAATAATATTTTTTTTGCATGGCATATTTTCCTTTTAAATACACACAAAGCAAAATTTAATTAGGAGAAAATTTACTTTATTTTTTTTTACCTTCTTAATGCCGTTCACACCCTCTGTTTTTTAATAATATAAACAAAATTTTCGTAATATTATCAATTTGCTTCAAATGATAATATTAAAAAAATGTATAATATATGGGTAGAAATGTATTTAATTTTTTTTTAATTAATAAAATTAAATTAAATTTTTTTTTAGTAGAAAATTAAAATAAATTAAAAATTACATTCCATTAATTGTTATATAAGGCTTGAAATTTGATATTAATTAATTATAATTATATATTTTTTTTATTTATTTTTGAAATTTGAGATAAAAATTAATTAATCTATATAAAATTAATTAAATTTATAGGAAAAAAAATTTTTTTAGACAGATATTATAAAATTATATAATTAAAATAATGAAAAATAATTTACATTATTAAAGTTAACAAAAAATCTTATATTAATAATAATAAATATAGAATAAGGAGTTGATTATATAATTAATATTCAATATAATATAAATAAATTATTTGATAACACTAAAATTTAACCAAAATAAAATGCAAAATAATAAATTTAAATTTAAAATGTTTAATAGTGAGAAAATAAATAAATAAATGGTGCCTTATGCAAAGAAAAAAGAAATATTAATGAATAAAAATTTTAAAGTGTTGAATTAAAAAATATGGGAAAAATTAATTTATATTATATAATATAATAAAATAATTGAAAGAAATAATTAATTCGTATATATGATAATTTAATTAAAATTAAAAGAAATTGTGTTATGAATAAATATAATTAAGAAAATAATTGAGAATTTGAAAGATAATATAAATTGTATAAGTGTAGTATATATAATTAAATTGAACTAAATGCAAAAGTATGAGCATACTTATCTGGGCTAACTAGTAAATCACTATAAAACATTAAAATTATCTTAAATGTTTCATATAATAAGTAAATAATTTAAATTCATACAAAAATATTAAGAGTAAAGTTAAGGTATTAAAAATGTTGATATAAAAAATAAATAATTCTTATAAGTATATTCTATATTCCTTTAACCCATATATGCGTATAATATAAATTATCTATGTATATTTTTAATAAATCTTTGTCTATATGTATATTTTTAATAATCTCTAATTTGTGCATATTGTGTATTTATATACACAATATGCACAAATTAAATTGAAATTTTATATCTAAAACAATTTACTACTTCATAAGTAAGTTTGAGTATTTATTGTGAAACATAATATTTAACCCTTTAAAGTACAAATTTCTGTTTTCTTTTTTTTAATATTTGCAATTATTCTCGCAATAATATTTAGTTTTAAATCACTTATATACAACTATTACATGTGGTATTCAATTGAATTGAACACTATAGTGTTCACAAGAGGGTTAATTATTATCAATATAATATATAATACTACTTGATACAAATTTTTCAATGTTTATAAAATATTATATGAAAAAATAAATATGTCCACTTATCTTTGCTTTCAAGCATTATATTCACAATAATAAAATAATCAAACAAAAAAATAAAAAAATTATATATGAAATTTAATCATAAAATTGTATAAAAACAAAAATAAATTGGTATATCATTTTTGTTTTGCCACTTTATTAAATTGTTTAGTATAGTTTTTCATTATCAAGTGAATTCGAAGTTAACTTCAACTTGAGATATGCTTGAATCATTCTATAGTATATAAAATTGATTACAACTGATCTAGTTTATAATTTAATATCCGATTTCAAGGAGAAGACAAGAAAAAAAAAAGTAAACTATAAAATAATTTCATTGATAAGGAAAATTTTTTTAAAAATATTTATTAAAATTTTTTTTTTTTGCTCTGCTCTGTACATTCTTATATAAAAATTTTGCAAAGCCATATATTAATTTATAATGTGCTATATTTATAACTAGATAATATTGTCTATTTGCATTCTCATTAAATTTTTTCTTAATCGGTAATTAGTAGATTACCCGCATAAATTCAACATAACTAGATTACCCACACGAATTCACAGCACAACAAGTAAATTACAAATGTTAAAATGTTTATTATTTTATTCTACATAAACAACAATTAAATAATTATTAAAATAAAATACAAGTATTATAGATTTTTTGTCTTTGAAAATCATTTTATGAAATTCATTATAAATTTCAATTGGTTCTCTCTTGAAAATTTACATAAGTACATAGATTAAACACACACAATTAATGAATATATATATTTATTAAGTATACTTCCAAATTTATTAAGTTACTTACGAATAATCTGAGCATATTTAATTAATATGATAGATATATACATTATATCCATTATACAAAGTTTTTTTTTTTAATTTTATATTATTTAATTTTGTGAAAATTTTAATTGAAATTGAAAAACTATTCAATAAACTTGTTTATTAAAATTTATTAAATACGTTGTATTGTTTGTGTTTTTCAATTTTAATTATTATTTCTTAATATTTTGTATTAACAAAAAAAAAATTTACTCAATTATGATAGTTGATAAATAATTAATTTTTGCTCAGTATGTAGGTGTATATTAATAATATTGAGTAATTATAACAAAATAATATAAAATAATAATAGCAAAATTAAAAATAATGTAAGAATTATTTTATCAATATTATAAATTTTGCAAAATTAAATTAAGTACAACGAACTTCATTTTAATTTAATTATCGTATTTTTAAATTACATTTTTAGCAAAATTTGTTAATATAACAATATAAAATAATATTTTTTATTCATAAATTCTATAAAATTCTGAATAATAATTCACAATAGCAAAAAAAAAATAATTAATAGCTAAAAAATAATAATAATTACAATAGTGAAGTAAATAGCAAAAAAATATCATATGTTATTTAAAATCAAATTAAAAATAATAAGTGTAAGAAATAATTTTAAAATAAAAAGTGTTTAAAAAAAGAGAAAAATTTCATTAAAATTGTTTTATAAGTGTGTTCTTTAATCTAAAAAATATATAAATTTATGTTTATTTTCATTAAATAAATGAAATGATAAATTAATTGTGAATTAAAAATAATAATAAAAAAAATTTAATAAAATTTAATAATAAATTTAAAATAAAAATAAATAAAATATTTTCTTTTTCTCTCTCACATGTAAATTTAAGAAAGTAAATAAATAAGTAAAAACTGTTATATAGGCACATATGTAAATTAAAAATAAAACAAAATTAAGTACACAAAAGTATGTGTGCATGTGTACATTTCATATATAAAAAACGATAAAAAATAATTACTTATATTGTGTATAAAAGATTAAACAATATTTCCGAATGTGAGAAGAGAAATGATATAGAGACAACAAAAAAATTTTGGATTATAAATAATTTTTTTTTTTGTATTTTTTCTTTTATATATTCTGGATTATTACTATTTTTACTGTTATACATATATGAATGGATGTGGAATAATATACGATATTTAATTATACGGTAATATATTATAATTTATCTATAGTTATTTTAAAAGAATTTTTAAGAAGAATATATGAAAAAAAAAAATTTTTTAATTTAAATTTTTTAATAAAAATGATGAAGCAAAAAAAAAAAAATAATTTTTGTTATTGCAAATATTTTTTTTTTTGCCTAAACTTACTTAAAAGAAAAATTTATTTTAAAAAAAAAATTTTTTTTAGAGAAATTTTGTTATTGTATACAAGGTGTTTTAAGAATAATAATATAAAAATTATAGGTGTGTTTTTTGTGATAAATGCCATATTATTATGTTATTGCATATTTTAAGGCTAATTTATCTCTTTTATACATTAGATTAGGTTAGATTAGAAATGGGGTAAAAATGTATCGCGATCCGAGGGTTGGATCAAGTGCCTGCCTCCCAAGTATTTTGTGATGACTGTGCCTCTCTCGCTGAGAGAACGTAACCATTTAGAGATTTTACTTTTATACGTATACATTTAAATATGTAATTGGGAAAATATTTTCATAAAATATTGGACACTATTATAAAATTCACAATTAGCTTACATTCTAATTAAAATTATGTAGTTTAAAATTTAACAGTTTTATTATTCAATAAAATTTATTGTTCTAAGTATTGAATATAGTTAAAAATTTTAAAACAGGTAGAAGGTAATTTACGATAAATAATCAAATAAAATTAAAATATTGGCAATAATAAATTTTCAAAATTTTATTACTCATATTTTTGTCGGTTACGATCCATAAATTTTTAAAAATTTTATAATGGTATATTTGTGGTTATAATTAAATTATACAGTTCCGGTGGTTATATACAGGTTATACGTAGTATATACAATAGTTAATATTATAAAAATAATTTGTTATCAAAATAACAAAAAATGTTATATAGGTACCTTATATAACATTTTATTAAGTCTTTTTTACGGTAATTTTAAAAACCTAATTGTATACTTAATAATTAAAAGTAGAAACTTTGATAAGATATGCAGGACAGGATGAAAAAACTTTCAGCAGTATAACAATATTATTTCTGCAGTAATAAAATAAATTTATTATAATTACGATCAAAATTTTATTAAAAATTTTTTTTTTTCAAAAATATTTTAAAGTTTTTGCATAAAACCAATAATGTTGAAGGAGTTTTTTTTTTCCAAAAATACTGAGTATTTTATCGAAGTTTCTAGAAAAAATTTTAGAATATTACAATTATTCCAACAATTTCAACCACTTTTATGTTAGGTTTTGTACAAAAAATGTTTTGATATTTTCTCTTTAAAAACAAACACTAAAAAACCTTTCGATTACCTAGACTATTCAATATTTTTCTTGCTTCGGACATTTTATGTTATGTAGGTATTTCTACTCACATACTCGCTTATATTTTCTCTTCTTATATTGCAAGAGCGTGGAGTCCATTAACAAAATTAAATATTCTTCTTAAGTATATTTACGTGTGGAACAGAAACGTGCCCTATATTTCTAACGAAAATATATAACAAATAATTTTTATTCCATGAAATAAATTCATAAATTATTTTATATACCTTATTCATTAAGTATTGTTAAAAAATTTATAAAAATTGTATTTTAAAAATATTCACGAAATTATTAATTATCTGAATACTTTTACATTTCTTTTAAAAAATTTTATTTTTAATGTCCTTGTACGCACAGAAAAAAAAATATTTTTCTTATTATTTTTTATTTTTTGTCTTTTTATTTAATTTCTTTAACTACATACAAAATTAATTTTTTGTTTTTATTGTTTTTGTTTTTATATTTGATATATATTTTATTTTCCTTTTTTTTTTTAGTATTAATATTCATTTGTAGGCCATTGGCTAATTTAAATTCATGTACCTGATGCCTTATAGAAAAAAAAATGAGAAATATAAACAACAATAACAAGCACAAAACAAAAAAACACAAAATTTTTTTCTTTTTTGCTCTTTTATAAAGCTAATGACCCATCTTTCTTCAATAAAATATGCCTCCATCTCCCTTACTTAACTAAGGAAAGGAGGGGGGCCAATATCTGCTATAGTCTGCGGCGGATATCTTTAAAACATCTATTTAATATTAAATAGAGAAATGAGAAAGAATAACAATTTTATTTTATTTTTTTTTTTTGACTTATTTTTGGAATGAAATTGAGTGTGAGATTTTTAAAATAAAAAAAAAAATTCTTCGTTTTAATTTTTTTTTGCTTGTGTCGTTTTATTAGAAATGAAGATTTCTTTCTCAAATTTTTAATTTTTCATTTATCAAGTTTTTTTTTTTTGTTTATTTTTTGCGTTTCTTTACGCATTTTTTCAAATGAATAAAAATTTCGAATTCCCTGACTTAATTTTTTGGTTTTTATATTTTTTTTTTTTTTTTGAAATTTTACATTAAAAATGTTGTTAATGTGCTTGTTTTATTTTTACTTTTTTTTGTATCGAGTGTAGAAATTAAGAGAAGTGATGTGATAGCACTCAATGCCGGATGCTGAGGTTTTTACGGAAACACACTTTTTCATGGTAGGGAATCGTAAATAAACTATTCTGGGCCAGAATGGTAGAGCTGGATGAGGTGTCGAATATATTGATATCGAGGATTGAAACAGATTTCTCAAATTACCGAATCGGGTGTCTTAGATATGTTGCTTGAACACTCGATAACGTTTTTTTGGACATACAACCCCAAATTTGTGGTATTTTAGATGCGGCTATCTTGTGGCAGTGGTCGCGTCGTACAATAAATTAGTCAGAGAATATGAGAATTCAGAAACTTTCATTACGAGCGATCGCATTTTTCGTTTTTCTTGAAATTTAATATTCTTTGTGGTCGGTAATGAGCTGATCACATCAGATTATTTATGTAATAATTTAATAAGAAAAATTTTGCGTATTCCCCCTAATTCAAAAATATAATAAAACACGTTCCTTATGATGGGTATTTATTGGTGCGGGAGCTAATTGTATTTGTAATGTAAAAAAATTTTAATTAAATCATGAAATTGTTGAATTTACATCAAATGAATTGGAAAATGATAAAAAAAAAAAAAATTATTAGGAAATTATTGTGAATGAAAAGAAAAAACAAAAAAGAAGAATTAATTTAATTTTTCAAATTTAATTTCATAATATAAAAATAATTTTTTTTTTTTTTTTTTGTGTTGGTTAATTGGAAAACTAAATTATTGTTGAAAAGTTTTATGAGCTTATCTCTAGCATATTAATATAACAGTAAATAATTACATTCACTTAGTTATTTTTTAAGGGACTTATTGAAGGCATAATTTTTCATTGTATTTTGTGTTCAAAGAAAAATATTTATGGAATTTAAAATATTCCTTGGTTATTGTGGTAGGACAAAAAAATTTTTTTCTAACTTTATAATTAATTCAATTGAATAGGTTGTGATTTCAAGAAATTTGATTTGGTATTTAGAAATTACTTTTTAGAAAACTTACTCATATTTTTGTTTTTAAAAAATGTCTGTAAGTACCGTTATGTTTAACACAGTCAAAGTCACGTATAGTTCATTTTTAAGGATTTTGTTGTTTAGAGTGCTGGTCGCCATTAAGTGGCGTTATGTTGTGTAACAATTCTTTTTCTTACAAAAGAAGACCTACACCACGCTGGTGTATGTCAGTGCAAAACTATTGATAATATCTTGTAAATCCCTTATATTATTGCGGCATAAAGCAGCACCTGCATTTTGAGTTTGTACATGTAATTTTAATATTTTTCATTTGTCTCTTTTGGTTAATCTTGTGATTGTTGTGATTTTTGCTAAGGAAATAAGTAATGTATTCAATTTCATATTGGCGTGAACAATTTGTATAATTATATTAAAAAACTTTCTTTAAAATTATCTCGATTTATTTGAATAAAATTTCAAGGACTTCAATAAATAAAAGATTTTAAATTTTAGATGAACAATCTGAAAGTTGATTTATGCTAATTTTGAATTTTTTTTTTCTTAGATTTTACGTAGAATTTTTCTATAACAAATTCAAATTTTCTTTTTAGTATGAATTCAAAATAATAATATTAATCAGTAACAAAATAAGTAAACTCATTTACAATGTTTAAATAAAATTAAAAAATTGTTAAAAAAATTTGATTTTTTTTTTGGTAAAAATACTTGAAATTCTGAAGAATTCTTGAAAACTGAAATTATTTAAACATACATACATGCATATATACCGTTATAGTATAAATATTTATTTATGTATACTTGGTTTTTTGAATTTTGTTAAAAAAAAGAATAATAAAAATTCTTCTTAATTTATTTTGAAAAGTGCTTCAAACTTGATTTGAAATGACGATGAAATTGTAAACAATTTGTTAATTTGAAAAAAAAAAAGTATTTATTTTTTGACAATGATCCTTTATTTTATGAAATAAACCCTTACATTTTTTAAAAGGTTTACTTTTATATTGCCGAAATTTAAAGGAAAAATAGATTTCGAAAATAGTTTTTTTTTTTTTACAAAAACTCAATTCAAGTAGATTTTAATGTCCTTTTTATATGCGTACGAAAGTTTGTTCGAAAAGTATATTAAATTTGTTTGTAACGCTAAGAAATACCGTTTGTAACACTAAGAAATAATGGTCTGAGATGTAGACGTATTTAATCAACTCACTAAATTTTCACAAATATGTCAGAATTCTATTTAAATTGAATGAGATCAAGACAATGGTTCAGTTAGCTGTCTTACAAGTTTGAAAGTTATTTACAAAAGCAAAATTATGCACAAGCAAACACATTATTGAGGCTGTTATGTGAGCCAAAATTGAACAAATTTCTTGACTCCATTTGGTAGCTGCTATACAACTTCAAAACGTATTTTGTCATACATTAGAAATTGTTGAAGCTACGGTATTGAAATTTTGCAAAAAAAAAAAAAAATGTTGTAACATGGCCATTATTTTCGGAAAAGCTGTTAATATATCACGAGCACTATATCACGATAGCTGCCATACAAGTTGTTTGGTTGTATA